AAAAAAAAAAAAAAATCGAGTGTGATATCATTCCTTTCTATTTTTAATGTCAATGTGATTTTGTAGTCTTCAGACAAATGAACTATTTCAGCTTTGCAAAAGACACGACAGGCATGGCTGGCGCATTTTAAATTCATCAATCAGTCTGGACCGAATCTCTGAAATCCATCCCCATCAAATCAGTATGGCAGTGATTGACAGGCCAAATGTAGGTGACCCCTCGTGAAAGCATAACAGCTCAAGTACAGTACAATTCAGTTGTATTTAACTTTTAAGTTCAACACATTTGTGCCTTTAAGAATTGCTTTTATGTAAACATGAGGTGCAATACATTTTAAGGGAATCATTATTTAAGAATGTTCCTCATTCCCCCAAACTGATCACCTTTTTGCACCTGCCCTCGAAGGTCATCCATCACGATGGTGCATTCAAATGCATATCTTGCCGCCCAATGCCTGCACCTTATCAAATGCGTGCGAAAGGGGCGGAGGAGCAGACGGGCTATTTTGAGGAAAGTGTCACATGTCCACAGTGAGAGCCGAGGGGGGGTGATGGGAGAGACACACAGAAGTCTAATATGGCCGCGGCATCATGTGAGAGCGAAGGCTGTTGAGGATGCGCAGGGGAGGGGCGCAGGAAGCGCTAATGTGTGCATGCATACACAAACCAGAAATAGAAACCTGCTGCGCTGTGCCGCCGTTTTCCTTCTTCTTCACTCACCATGTAGGTCATCTCTGCCCGCTGATTTCCTCTCAGTGAATCGTCACTGTGCACAAAATAAAGGACCAAGGTGTTGTCCGGCCTCTTCGTTGTCTCTTTGTTTTGTTGGGAAAAAAAAAAAAAAAAAAGGCTCACCCACATGCTTGATGTTCTTGAACCCACACGTAGTACAGAAATCCCGACAATCCGTTCTCATGCTGTTGAGAGCTCCGTGGATGACGGAGTGTTGACGGAGAGGGAAGCGAGCAAGCGTGTCCGTCACGGTCACCTGCTCTCGGACGACATCTGTTTGTACTTTACACGAGCTGTTGCAACGCTGCCTTTTACGGGGGGAAGTCAATATCGTAAACAGCGTGGACAAAATGGAGGAAGTCATACGAAATACAGCATCCGGTATCCCGAACTTTGCGGCACCGGAGTAACGACATAAAGGTGTACATCACGTCCAAAGCAGCGGTAAGAGCCTCCAGGCTACTTCCTGGTAGGCCGCGAAGCAACCATTTCCAAATTTGGGCAAGCTCGCGCCACGGTGCCTTTGACCTTGTGCAGTGCCCCACAGTGAAAACTAGATGCGGTGTGAAACGGCAAAGCAAAATCTGTTGCCCTAACTAAGTCACACACAAAATCCTCCAAGAAACTTAATCGCTGAGTCACACTAAAAAGTCGAACCTCACAGCTGGACTCAAGCCAAAGTGTTTCGTTTGTCACCAGATTGACACTCGCCCGGTTTCACAATACTATATAAAGCACAGTAAAGTGCAATGTCACAGTATCACTCACATCCTGTCCTCGAAAACAAATGACTGCGTGACTGGCCCATGCATACCGGACATTTTCTTTACAGATACAGGAAGTGGGCATCCTTTGCTTTTGAAATGCAATCAGTGTTGTCGGGGATATACCAGGGCAACTATAGCGCTCATGCTTCAATTCTCTCACCCAAATGCAATGTCGGAACCTTTAAAGTAGTTCAGTTGAATAGTAGGACGGGGGTAGGGCACAGGTGTCAAACTCAAGGCCCCGGGGGCCAGATCTGGCCCGCCACGTCATTTTATGTGGTCCGCGAAAGCAGACCATGTGTGTTAACTTCCATGATCCTTTCTAAAATCTGTACTGAAATGTCAAATTTCCATGTGTAATAAATAACATTGACATTTTGCAATACTTTTCTGAACCTGGTTACACTCACTTGAATTATAAGTGAACAAACAACAAACAAATAATTGACTGATTTCAAAATTTGTCATCCATCAATTCGTTGTGTACAAGTAATACTATGGGATGATGAAATATTAATTCGGGCCTCCGAGGGACGATGAAACTCCAAAGTGGCCCACGACAAAAATGAGTTTGACACCCCTGGTGTAGCGTAAGGGGCGAGGGACTTCGAAAGGAAACGAGTCCTCTTGTTACGGATGCTACAAAACGCAACACTGTTTTCACCGCAGCTGTCGGCACAATCTCAACGGAGAACAACCACCAGCGATGGTTTGTGTCCTTCGGCACAGATATGGATCACAAAAACAGGCAAAAGGACCGCATTCCTGTTGACGACCGGCAACGCGTCCATGCGAACACGCGCCTGAGCAAACCGTCTCCTGTGTTCTGTTTTCACAGGTCGACACGCCAAAGCTGTCTGGAGGACGCTTTCTCACCACCGAGAGAGGGAGACAAACAGAGGCCCACACTTTTAGACTGTTATCGCCTCATCCGTTTGAAATCTCAAAGGACGCCTCCCCTTAAATCGTTGGCCGCCATCTTGTCAACAAAGACGGGATCGACCGGGGGGGGGGGGGGGGGGTCTGCTGAGTGAATTGGGCAGAGCACAATATAAAGTTTCACTTGGCCCGACACCGAATTCACTTGGAGACACTTGGAATTGGATCGTTCTGCCCCGTGAATGCAACCATCCGCCAACCTGTCGCGTGCGTGCATCTAATGTGATCGCTTGGTGCTAACTGTGTGAATATCATGTTATTTTAATAGGTAAAGTGGCCAACACCGGTCAAGGAAGCTGGACTGTTTCTTCTTAAGCTTTGAATTAAGGTGCTCTGGCTCAACTCTTCAACCCAGCAAGCCCTCCCAAGGATTCAGGCTGACAGGAGCCTTCATCAGGGTCGGGGGCGGGGTCTCTCAAGGCAACATGGAGGCAGCGCTTCGTCCACATGTGCCCTCTAATGGCTGACTTTAACATCGCAACACGACCGAGTTCTCTTGCCTAGAACCAGGCAAGGGTGTCCCACTCCCCCTTTCGAGCCTCTTTGCGTCCACTTCCGAAATCCAAATGTCTTGCCTGAGGCGTCAGCCCGTCACCATCCCAATGGACACGGTCAAGATCATCCAGTCCGAGAAGTTCCCCAGAGAGTGCACGGTGCCCGTCACCCAGCCTCGCTTCGCCCCGCCCCCCAGGGTAGCGTGGGACGGCGGCGGCGAGGGGGAGATCATCGTCAACCAGGCCTGCAGCGACCTGAAGCTGGACGTGACGGTGGCGACCCCCAGGCCCATGCCGTCCCCGCAGACCCCCGTCGTCGTCCGCAGGGAGCAGAGCTTCTTAGCGCAGCGCAAAACCAGTGCCAACGAGATCTGCTACCACCAGTTCCACTACAAGATGGAGGACGTCATCGTCAATCAGTACGTGCTGCGCTCCTCCTCCACGTCCTCGTCATCGTCCTCGACCTCTTCGGGGCCCCCCGTGCCCTGCGAGCCCCTGGACTGCCCCACCTGCGGCCACACCTACAACTTCGCCGGCAAGCGCCCTCGCATCTTGTCCTGCCTGCACTCGGTGTGCGAGGAGTGCCTGCAGATCCTTTACGAGTCGTGCCCCAAGTACAAATTCATCTCCTGCCCCACCTGCCGCCGCGAGACCGTGCTGTTTACCGATTACGGCCTGGCGGCGCTCGCCATCAACACCAGCATCCTGAGCCGGCTGCCCGCCGACCCCAACGGGCCCGTGCAGTGGGGCGGAGACGTCGACCGCAGCTGCTACCAGACTGTGCGCCAGTACTGCCAGTCGGCCTGCACCTGCCACATCGCCAACCCGTTGTCCTCCTGCGGCATCATGTAGACAAAATGCGGGCGCCGCGTAAACGCTGCTCAGCCACACCTTTGTCGACTATAAGCTCTCCCCCTTACCCTCACGTGTATACACACACACACACACACACACACACACACACACACACACACACACACACACACACACTGTCAATAACCCCTCCACAGATGACTTATCGCTATATATTTAATAGCACAGATGGATACTGTGTGGGACTACTGGTTGCAGACGGTTCGATAAATAGTTAATATATGTATTTTACGTATGGACTGGAATCCTGTTCACCCTCTCTCGTTTGGTTGGATGTGTTTGTCATCTCTTTTCATGGGAATGCCAGGGGGAGTCGAGTACCTCTCTCCCCCCACCCCCATCAAGGTGAATAAAGATTAAATTAATGACAAAACTCTTGTTGCTCATGGATATCTTTTCACGACCAGGGCAGTGGTTTCCAACCTCGACACCACGGCACATTTGTGTGCTTACATCTATCGATGACAGCGGCGTATAGTGACTGTTTATTGTGGGGAGTACGTTACGGACCCACACACAATAGGTCAAAATCTGTGATGTAGGGCGCGACTGTACTGTACGCTATTCTGACCCAAACACGGTATTTTGATGAACTAAAATGAATTAAGAAAAAAAAAAAATCCACCCGTTTTTATAAATCCCAGGGGGTGGGCGGCCATTTTGCCACTCACCTGGTTTCTGGCTTCGGTCACGTGATGTTCACTAGCTGAGCTCTACGGCACTGTGATGTCATTTTCAGTCGACGGCGAGTGGCAAAATGGCCGCCTTCTGAGATGGACAAAAATAGGTGGATTTTGCTGCTTCATTTATATTACACCAACGTAATATTAATCAGAATGCCATGTTTAGACTCGCGAGGGTGCATAGAACATATCAGGTCAAGAAAATATTTGGCTTGACTTCCCCTTGAAATAATCATATAATTGCACATAATGTAATGACAGACACCCAAAAACGTTTATTGACAGGCTGTACTTAATGAGCAGGTTTTCACCAGCACATCACAGTTTTACAGTTATTATTATTGTTTTTATATTTTAACGAAAAAGCTCATTCGCCCATATGAACAAAAGGCTTGAGAATCAGTGGCATCGGTCTCAATGCTTTTGTCTACCTGTAGTAACTGCAGAGCTGACTTCACATCGCAGGAAAGTGTGGTGGGTTTCTAATGTACACAATTTAAAAAAATATAGATATATGTATATATAGTATATCTTGGTATATATTCTGTAAATATTGCATCTGTTTTATGACTTTTTACACATTAAAATAAAATATTTGCAGTGAAAGGTATTGCATATTACAGCCATAGAGGAAACAAAATACTGACAAATTTGCACATTTATAATAACTTACATTATCTTCAGATGTCTACAGCTAAATGTATTGTTACTTTTCCTGCCTGGTCAATGTGTGGTATGAACGGGAAGAGTTTTCCATCTCCTCCTGAACAGTTGGCTGAGTTGTCGCCGGGCGGCGTTCCTTTCAAAGGACTGCATTGGTTGGCTGGGATAAAAACAACAATAACAAGAGCACATTGAACAGAGCGGCGACGGAGACGACAGGAAGCAGTCGGTAGGGTGGCCGGATGTCAATTTGGAGCAGTCCCTGCATCGCCATGCACCATATGGCGCTGGCACGCTTCAGAACTGACTTGGTCAACCATATTTCCAGCTCACCTATTTGTATTTTGAAGACTGGGCTCGTCCTTCTTCAGAGACAACAACTTGATCTTCCTGTTCTTGGTGCTTACATTAGCAAAGTCGCCCTTTGGGGAGGGAGAGAGAGAGAGAGAGAGAGAGAGAGAGAGAGAGAGAGAGAGAGAGAACAACAAACTCAATAAAGCACAAAATATTAAGAATAAGGCTTGTGTGTATATGTAGCATTACCATAAAAAATACAGAACATATTTATCACCAACTTTAGTGATAAATATGATGTATAGTTTTTTTTTGTTTTGTTTTAATTGTGATAGCGGTTACTTGGTAGATAGTAACACAGTCAAATTTTACCTGCATTTTATTGCTCTGAGCCTCCTTGTCACGTAGGTTGAATGTACTCGACTGCTGCCCTCTGGAGCCAGGCTTAAACTTTCCTGCTTAAAAATAAACACAGAAGTCAATAAATCACAAAAGTCAAACACATTATTGAAACACGCCCATGTTCTGCTGTTCCGGAATATTTCACACCAACCTGAAAACTCACGTGGCTGTGTTGACGACACGGTCGTTTCGGAAGCTGATCTCTGTCGAAAATATTCCGGAATTTCCTTGAGCTGTTTGTCCTTGTCGGAAAGGCTCTCCAGCCGAACCTTGTAAAAAGTGAGAGGCTCATGTGTCTGCTCTAATGATTGACAGCTGCTGGAAGCCTGACAAGATGAGGGGAAGGACGTTATTAGTAATCAGGATGGCATCCATGTGAAGAAACCTTGAAAAAAAAATAATGCAGCATGTGCGCGTGTGTATTTGTGTGCGATTACCCGAGCCCTGTCCACATTGCTGCCACCATTGACAAGCTGCTGCTTTGCGACGTCCTCCCATTTTTGACACACCTGCTCCAAGTACCTGAGCCCGGGACTCAGGCCCGTGGAGAACACCTCAGGGGGGGCCTGAAATGCAGCACAAGACAGGAAGGTCACAAAAATAAAAAAATTAAAAAAACACACAATGAATAACTCATTGTTGGATATTGGTTGCATTTCACAGCTAGCAACAAATTTAGCTCGTGAAAGCCGCACCGCCCTTAACACTCACCAACAAAACATCAGAAGAATGTCTCAAAATAATAATGAAATGAAAACATTTTGAAATTGGTGTCCGTGTATTTTTAGTTGAGGATGATAACGGGAAGAAAAGATGCTTTCCATTAGCGTTTGGCGAAAATGCACACAGCGCGACCGTGTTTAGTGGCACGTGAACTCCTGGTAGGCGCCGTCGGGCCAACCGGAAGTTACCGTGAATGACATACGAAGAACTGCCAAGCACTTCAACGCAAATTCTGAGAAGGAGCTTGGACAGAGTTTCCAGTTTTCAAGTGTCACTGTTGCTCAGAAATTTTGAAAGGACGTTTGCTAACATTGGTTGCTAGCTTACGCTAATATGCTAATCGGCCAACTTGGTGCATTTTATTGTTTGTCTGACATACAGAGAGCGACTTGTGGCCAATGTGTGGTTTCGCTGTTGTCAGAGGTTGATGAAGTTAAGTGTAACTAATTACAGTATACATTAAGGGGGGGGGGTGTGGTGGTGGGGGGGGGGATCCATCCAAACAGAACATGCAACGACTTGTATTTATTGTTCTACTTTCTTTGAATTCTTTAAAAAAAAAAAATGTGTCGGTCATCTGTGGTACGCCAAATACTGTAAGAGCACACATGCCATTTTAATTTTTTTTTCCTTCCGAGTTGAGATCTCTCACATCTATTGTTTGGTTAAAATATCGGGAAAAAATGGCACGTGTGTACACTCCTTTAAATGTTATTGGACTTGAGCGCTTTTCTAAGAACTACATTTCAAAGCTCTTGGATGTTGTTCTCTGCCATTCTGACAAGGAGCGTGCAATGTTATTTGTAACCTGTTTAGCCTGACTGATAGCATCACACTTTTTCCCTTCTTCAAAATCTCAGTGTACCTGCCCCAGTGTTTCAACTCAACAACAAGAACGATTTAATTAAATCTAATTAAAGAGTTTGTAAATGACTGGAAACTAAATTGTGCCGTGTCGTTCAGAGCTCAGGCACTTGCCTCTGAACTTGCAGATTCATCAAGTGAATGCCTGAGAACAAAGTCGGCTCCGAAAGGGCGTTGTGAATAAACAGTGTGATTAATTGTGCCGTTCAGACTGTGACATGCAGGACTATTATTAAACCTACAGCAAGAGGAAATTGACTAAAAGGTTAATTTTTGGTTCCTTCTTTTCAGCCCTAACAGCTTCTACCATCCCAAGTAAGTACGGGAAACCAGTGACAACATTGCCCGGTAGAGTGAAGGTCATTGATTTCTTCTACATTGGCCTTTGCTTGTGTGTTTAACGGTGCCGTGCCAAAGGACGAAACCCAAAGGTTCTAACAGCACCGTGGTCAAGTCCAATCATAAAATCCACACAGGCGTGTAGAGAACATGCGAACCAGTTTTGGATATTCCGAGCTGGATATCGAACCGCGGGGACCTGCAGCAGTGCTGTGCAATTGCGCAACCATCGCTAGCATGGACGGTTTACATAGCTAATGTGGGAGTTGAATCATTGGAGCGAGATGAGAACTGGTTTCCGTTAGCGGAAATTACAGACCGCTGCGGTGCGCAAATAAATTGTTTGGAAAGAACCGGCATCGCAGTGCCTGTGTTCCAGTGAAAGGAACTCTGAATGCTTCAACGCGCACGTTTTGGACAGTATCATCCTAGCAACCTTGCGCGAACAGTTTGCGGATACATGTACACCCTTCCTGTTTGAACGTGAGAGTGCGCCAGTGCACAAAGCAAGTCCCGAGAAGTGACATATGGATGGAAGAGTTTGGCGTGTCATGCAGCACAAGAAGGCGTGCTCAGTTACCACCAATATTGACTTTCGCAATGACGTGACTTGTTCGTTCGCATGTAAGTGAAAGACTGCGGCATGCTCTTCTCTTATGTACAAATTTGCATTCTGGCACAGGCACAGGAATGGAACCCTGAAGACCTGCCTTGTCAATCCGGCCGCGATTGGAAGCATAAAATTCCCCTGTGATTAACCGCTGGCGAATCCAGGGTGCCTCTCACCAAAAGTGAGCGAGTGTGGTCTCAACGTGACGGAAAATGGATGGAGGACATACTGGTCAATGGAAGAAGAAGATTCAGGGGAGGAATGACGGAGTTTACACCATGATTGATTGATTGATTGATTAATTAACTCACAAACACTTCAAAAGGAAAGAGACTACCTGCTGAATTTTCCCTTCCATTACTTCTACTGCCTGCGGGTGCGAAGTCATGTCGGCAGACTGGTTTCTGACATCCTGCAGCAGAGAGATATTTGGGTCAGGCCGCCACTGACGGCGGTGCAGAGTGAATAATGGCATGTATGCGGTGTGAAGAGAGCTCGGAAGAAAGTCCGGAGGGTACGACCCCCGTCTGCCCCTTTCTGTCACTTTTCCCTTTACAAGCGGAACAAGACTCAGCATGTTGCTGTAGGATTTATGTCATCTTCAAACGGCTGCTGGCATCCGACAACGGCTAACCTTCAAGCTAACTGCATCGCTAATGCTAGAGCCAAATCCAAACCCTAAACCTCCGGCCGGAACAGAACCCCAACCAAACATTAGTCCCTAATTCCAAACCCAGACAAAAACTCCTAACTGTAACCCCTCCTACCATAACCCTAGGCCCTAATCCAGACCCCAATCCCAATGCCAAACCCGGGACCCTAACCCAACCTCACCTCCGATTTCAACTGCATTGGTCCCATCTTTCTTCCGGAAGACAGGATTTGTTTTCTCACGCCCGATATCTGCCAGGCTGGAACCGACGGCCTGGCGGTCTCCCATGAGCCGAAACTCTCCGACCTCAGAATGGAGGTTCTGCGTCGAGAAGCGGTATGATCACGTTGATCAATTGCGTGCGGCTCAGGAACTTGCCGGGACTCTGATCTCTGGAGAGCTTGTCTGAGTTTTTGGTTAAAGACTACGGATCCCTGAACTCTTCTGAGGTTTGTAGGCTGGGAGAGGGCAGGCGGTGACAAATAAGGGGGCAACGAAGCGGATCCGTCTGACGAAAATGGGATGTGGTTGTCATTCCCTGGCCCGGATGCAAAAGAATCCGTCTCTGCCATATCCATGGACAATGACGAGGTGGGAAAGAAAGTGTCAGTGCTGGCTGTCTCCACTCCGGAGTCCACCGATTCTGTCCGCACATTTTTCTCCAAGGCGGAATAAGAATGCGAAGAACGTGAAGGGGAATCTTTGGAAATATCCTCCAGCAACTCGGGGTCCGGATGTTGCTCGGCCACCCAGGCCTCCATTAGGTTCCCAAAACTCCTGTACAGATTCATTCACCCTGGCTTTGGTGGCACTTCACAATCCAACTGCAACAAGAACGTTGAGCGAGGATCCACTCTCGAGAGCCTTCTTGAGGTGACTTGCTCAGGTAGAATTCAAAACATCCCACTCCGGTCCGCCCCCGCGCCTTCGTCACCACGCCTTCTCCGCATTGGCCGTCGTGCCTCACGCTCGCGCCTGGCTGTCGCTCCCATCGGAAAACAATGACTCCGCTGCAGCCAGTTCCCCTAAGCTCCTTTTGGGACTTGCGTGTACCTGTGAAACACGCAAGGTATGACATGACCCGGTTTTTAAAATGCACTACATAACAACAGGGTCAATATTATTAACACTTTTGTCATATGAGGCAAAACTCCACAGAAATGATTCATATAACTGAGTTTGCAAATGCTCTCTTACCTTGTGTGCATGTGTGTGTGTGTGTGTGTTGTTTTTTTTTTTCTGGTTCGAGCAATTGACATCTTCCGAATTAATTTGCATGCACATAAAGATTCTGTCGAAAACATATTTGGCGGATGCTTACTGTACTTTTTTTTTTTTTTTTTTAAGCCTGGTGGGAAATGTGTGGAATTTTTACAAAGCATTTGACCCAGGTTATCAATGTGACTCATTTGCATGATCATTCTTGCTGTCACTGAATGCCTAAGGAGCTCAAATCCGGATTTCACAACAGCGGTGACGATCTGTACCACAGAAGGAATGTGTAGAATGGACATTGCAATGTGCTGATATGATCTGAGCTGTCTACCTCAAACACACACGCACACACACACACCCGCACACGCACACGCACACGCACACACACACACACACGCAAATCTTTTCAGAATCACTATTGCACAAAAGCAAACGTGCGAGTTTTCCTCACACTGTAGATTTTTACAATGCATGTGACTGTTTTACAAACTGGATTTTATTTTGTAATCTCCTTTCCAAACACATTCACATGAAAATAGACAAAGTAGAATTTAAGGAAGATAAACATTCCAATTTAATTTTCCCCTTTTCTTAACAATTTGAGTAACCGGCGTCATCTAGTTACCTTGCCTCTCAAGACGTGAATGCCTTTTAATTATTTGATTTATTATTTTTTAATATATAAAAATATTATTATATAAATATCATAAAAATTATTTTAAAAAATAAACAATATAATTTTTTAATTAAAATCGATGGTAGCAGCGAGCCTTGTGGTTCGAACAGATGCTTCGCCAAGCCAACTGCGTGTCATCCATTCCAATACATTTTCAACTATCTACCACTAGAGACCGCTGTTGCACATTAAATGCAGACCATCTCGCGTTTCTTTCAATGCCAAACACGACTCGGGAGTAAATTGATTAACTAGCAAACCGAGACGACGAAATTAAATGTTTTGCCGATTCCCGCTATGTATTTCCATCATTTTACAACGCCACTATTTGAAAGAGGAAGCCTCGGGGTCATCACCCTGTTTAGTTTGTTGGCTATTGTGTGTAGCAACCAAGCAAGCCAACACCTGAGCAACCAGCCAACAACAGTGCAGGTGACCCGCTGGTGCCTCTCAGAGGACCAATATGGAGACAGAACTCAGCACCGTTTTGTTGGAGCGTGATCCACATTATATGCCAGGGTGAGTACATTGCTCCAAGCATATCCGTATGTCATTTTCGGGCAAGAATTACAGTTATGGCACAGATGGATCCTACCAGGGCTTTTTTTTTTTTTAATGTGGGGGTGGGGGGGTGTCTGTCTTTAGCTACTCAGGTTATCGTCCACAGCTAAAGTTCAAAATAGGCAAATCGTACGGGCAGCTGATGGCCGAGTTGCTTCACCCGCTCCCGCACACGGGTGCTGATGGGACCCTCGGAAGCATCCCCGAGAGGCACGCCGGCCGGATCATGCCTGGTTACACCGGTATCTCCCACCCACACATGCAACCAACCACATTATTTACTATTAATCAGTTAACTTGCTCAGGATTGTGCACAGCCTCTTAATTTCACCTTAATTGCGGTCTATGTTTTTGTTTTCTTGAAAATAGAAATACCTGTAATGTGTTCCAAAGTAACTTCTTAAAACATGAAATGTATTTGAGGCATTTTTTGCTGAAATATTTTACCAACTTCCATATAAGTATAAACAGAAATTAATATGCAATCTAAGGTAAAAACAACAAGAGTCCTAAATTGACGGCGAGTCACGTCACAGGTGAACCCCGTGTAAACAAACGTGAGAGAGCAAGTTGAACACTTCAAAACAACATCGTCGTTCAAAAGGTGACGCTTGATTTGTGCTGCTCGAAATGTCAGTCTGCTTGTTACCGCAGAATGTGATCGTTATAGATTTCGAAAGGGCATATGTTGTTTCGCAAATTCTTTTCAACTGTGAAAAAGGAGCTCTGAGTTTGAGCCATCCGGACAACTCTGAGGGCCTGCGGGCGCTTGGGGTCACATATTTTCAATTCTGATTGTCAACTTTAGAGATTCCGTTGTAATTACAAAAACTACCATGCGATGTTTTGAGCGCCAAGGAGTGATTTAGTATACACAGTGTACAGTATGTTGCATTCTTGATTTATTCATAGAAAAAAGGCCTTTACCCGTACAAACTTTGCACGCTCGTGTTTCTTGCCTGTAGGTTTCATCCCCAAAAGGCAGAACTACATTGCCTGCAGCTACGCGGAAACATGCCAGAGAGCATTTTCGGATTTTTACCAGGAGATGTATACAAATATTCAACGGGCGTCAACGGATCCATCACTTGCCGACAAGTACTCGCAACCGCAGTCAGAGGTTCATGAAGCCTTGCTTTCTCTCTATTCTGTGACTAAATGACATTCTACAGTCTACCGGTAATGAGATTAAAAAAAATACACGATTTACATTTTTTTAACAACGTACCACTCAGATTAGAATCTTTGTGAAGGCAGATTTTTGTTGCTATAGCTCATGTATCGGATTACATTCGATTGTAGCTTCAGGTGTACCTAATGAAGTGTCCAGTGAGTCTGTATTTAGCACGGGGCGTGCTTGAATCAATTCCCGCATGCTGAATTATGAATGGAGGGGCTCAGTTTCAGCTCAGTGCAACGTCATCCATCCTTCCGAAAGCGAAGGAGACATAAATAGTAACATTCAAAGTGAAACACTTTGTAATGTCTATTGCATGATTCCCAAATGTGAGTATTTCATCTTTTTTTTTTCTTTTCTCCAGTCATGTTTTGGTAAGGCATGTTGTTGATTTTTATGTCCAGAGGACAACAGCGCCCCAAACCGCAGTTTCGGACCAAGTGGTATCCTACAAGCCCTTAAAGAGCTTCACTCCTATTGCAAAACCACATTTGTTGGATGATGGCCACCCCTACAAGTACTACATGTCAGGTACAATGCGACGCTGATGGCTAATATTGGAATAAACTAAGCTAAGATATGCACAAATGTTCAAATTTAGTTTTTCTCTGGTGGGAAAAATAAAAAGAGGGATGATGCAAATAACAATGCAGCGAACAGACTTCACTTTTCATGGTTTCAGTCCACTCGCATGAGGCCAGGTCGGGCAGTTTCCGCCATTTGTATTCTCTTTTTATCGTATGAAAAATTTGGTTCGGACCCATCGGATGACATCATCTTGAAAAATTGATTTTGGACTTTTATTTTTGAAGGCTTTACAGGACATGTGCCGAAATCCCGCTACCTAATTGGGAAAGGTTACCCCGTTGCCACAAACGAGGCTCTTGTCCACTTGGGGAGGCAGCACGGCGGCGGCGACTGTTCACCGCCATCCGTACTTGAGAGCTACCCATCACGCCACAGGGGCGTGGTTCCAGCTTTCACGGGACATCTCCCTGGTGTGTATTGCAATGTGTCTCATATTAATATAAAGCGGGGGGGTTGGGGCGGGGGGGCGGTTCCCAAAGTCCGGCCTCAGTTTATTAACTAGCGTAAACCATCCCACAGGATACAAATTCATGTACGGGCACACCTTTGGCCGTCTTTCGAAGAAAGCTATGGAGAAAAGTGCCAAAAGGAGACCCCATCTCCAAAAATACTGAGAAGAAAACAGATTTCAATAACAAGAACGTAAATCTACATATGCTACTGTTTTATTAAAATGATTGTCTTTGGACATTCAAGGATGCATTCCAACATTGTAATTATTTCTCACCCGTCACACCAATCTATTTATTCTCGCAGGCAATTGCGCAAGTCTCCATTTATATATTTATGCAACTCGTTTTTTAATAGCAGTCGATCAAAACAACGCACTTTACAATATGGCTTACTGTTGTTTATCCCAGAGGATTTACTCACATCAACCTCCATCAGATCATTTCCAAACCTTAACCTGCCTTTAGAATTAATCTATAAAAACGTAAATACAGTACCAGATAAGGTGATCTTGAGTTACGGGAGTACCACCTGTATGAATGCAACGTCATGCAAATATGGAGGGAAAACATGCGCGGAATTATCTTAAAAACAGTCAAAAACACACGACTTCAACATTGAAATCGATCTACAGTTTACTATGCTACTTCTGAACAGAAGATTCGACGACTGCCATGTTACAACGAGGAATCAAACTGTTGCCAGAAATGTCACACTGAAATGTAGCCAAAGTCCGTTGGCTAGTATTATTAGCGTCACCTCCTCCACGGAGCGAACTATGGCCAACTGTACCTTGAAATGAATTCCGTTTAAAGCAACAACTGAACCATATCACATTAAATGTGACGATTCGAATTTTGTGACAAGGATACAATACTAATAGCAGAAAAGCATTACGAATTAAAGCGCTTGAGTTAGCATTAGCATGTTCTGTTTGACTGGGTCTACATTGAGTTTGGATTATTGTGACAACGCCAAAAACAACACCAACACAAAGAGCAGATGAGATGACTGACCTGCCATGACAAGGAGAATTGTTGAAAGAAAAATGACACTGAAACAAGTTTAAACCGCTTCGGTTGGCGTATCAGTTTCGTTGATGCATCATTCTGGCTAATTCTGACTCTGTTTTTGTTTTTTTTAAAGCCATTTCAGTGGATCGTTTTCATAGAGAACATGACATCTTCATAATCCCTGACTGAAGTTTTTTTTTTTTTGTTGTTTTGACAGAGGCTGAGAAAAACCTGAATTTATGTGATGACTTATGAGTCACTTCATCCGTCTGGTTTCAAATATTTCAAAAGACATACAACATAAATTTAATGACAAACTTTTTCATAGCTGGCTCAGCTTTGGATTTAAGTACAGCTAATGCTTGATGAGTGAGGCTGCCAAAGCTGTTAATCTTGTTCTTCGTGTTCTCCGTGACTAGTGCGGCAGAACGGCTGAGCGCTGCGTTTCCTAGCTGTAGCACGCGCTGGAAGACGTTTTGTGAAAAAGCCTGTCGGCGGTCTGTCAGTCTGACCGCCTCAGGGCTTCAATGACCTGATGGATTGAGTCAGGAATCCAAGGTGGGATGTGTCTAGATGCAGCCACTGTGATGGACGATGGCATCTGGAGAAACGACAATTGGGAGAAAACTAGATCAGGAAGGACTGACGGTTAAAAAAAATATATAGTCGGAACTTAGTGTAAGAAACGGAAAATCTGCACAATTTGAAAACAGTTCCTACAGGAAGCCACTAGGTGACAGTATCGCTCCGCAATCACCTTTGCATCCCTGCTTTGGTATGTCTGTCTGAAAAAAGGTTTGATGTTGCAGACAGTTTGCCGCCCGCAAAGCAAATCAAAACGAAATAGAATTGCCCTCGAGCCTCGACGAAAAACTGTTTTGAATTTGAAGTTCTATCGTGATCCTCTCCGTGACATTCATCTCGGTACTTGAAGGTCTTGCACAAGGTCTTACTTACCCTTTGACGTGACTCTGCGAAGTTGCCTGTAGTCTGGTGGAAACATTTGCGGCTCCGAAAAGTTTGGCCCAGCGCAGTCCACCCTGGACAGGTCTCTCAACATGAACATCGGCTGCGGTTTGACTGTCTTTCTCCATGTTCCCGCAGTCCGGATTAAGTGTCGGTCTAACATCGAGGCAATTCCCTTCCACCTCACATTCCCCCCAGTTCCTCCATTCTGGAACAGAAGCGAAAACCGTCTGGCTGCCGTTGATCGGCATCGCTTCACATTTCTTCTCCTTAAAATCTGTATTCTGAGGATTACGTCGGACATCCCCGTTGGTCCGGCGACCTGAGACGCCTGCGAAGAGCGGAGAAGGGGAAACGCTATCCCCCATAGGACGCGGTTGCCCGTTGCGTAACAACCTGGGCTCCAGCAGCAAGTCGAGCTCAAAGGGCAAGACGGAAAGAGGCTGCAGGAGAAGCAGAAGCTCCTGAAACAAAGGCCGGCATCGACCCAGCGACATGGACAGGAAGCCCCAACCGTGGTAGTGGGAAGTCACCACATCTGTGCGCAAGGGGAGACCGATGTCGTATCTTTTTGACTTTGGTACTTTTTCAAGGCACCTTGAAAGGCGCACTCACCTCGTTGACTGTGGAGGTGACTGAGCCAGAATTCCAAAGTTCTCAAGCTGGAAGAGGGTTGAGGGGGCCCTTTGTGAGTGGCATCTCAAAGATTGGAACGACAAATAAAAAGATACAAACTCACTTCAGCAAGCCCATGATGAAGGCCTTCAGCTTCATGCTGTGGCTGTTGAGCTGTGGACACTTGAGGATTTGACGGACCAGGCTGGAGAGAATCTCGGTGGATGGACCTGTCGCGTCAAGGTCGAGAAAAGTTCGGATCGATAAATCATTCGAACTGAGTCGAACTTTTAAATTACCAGGTTTGGTCGAGACTTCGACGACGGTCCAGGAGGAGTTACGACGCTGACCGACGACAATGTCTAATTTGTGATCTCTGAGGCCGTCTTCTAGAATGTTCTGGATGGCGGGACACAGGTGATCCAGGACCAGACTGGCCATCATGGCACTCAGATAGCTGTTGCCGAGACGCATCTGTGGTGCAAAGGGTTTGACAAAGAAGAATGTTACGCGAGCGTCACGGTAATCGACTTTTGGTAACCCTTGACGGGTATTTGTATTCGCGCGTTTGGATGTCAACGACAAACGTACCTTTTCTTCTGGATCTCTGCTGTTGCCAAAATGAGCTATGATGAGGTCCACCGCTCTGCTCACGGACCTCAGCAAACCTGCACACAAAGGTGAAGAAGCTGTCGACACATTTTACAAACACTCCGGGGGCAGACCTCATAATCGCATCTTGGCTTTGTTTGAATTTTGGACCTGTCTAGTTCCAAATGTTGTGGCCAAAAACCAGAAATCCGATATCATATATCAAATATTCTGACACTTTCATTGAAGTATTTGAGAGACGGTGACAGTGTTTGTAGCTACTGTGGGTTATTTGCACTGGCAGATTTTCGTATGCTGGACAGTCCCCCTGCAAATGTCACGGTGAATTCTCGACGCATGCTGACGGCGCGCCGTAACCAACGGACGCCGCAGACAGACGTCCGCCGATTTGCTTTTTCTCCAATTTCCAATCACCGAAGGATTTGAACGGTCCCGAAAACAAACAGGGCGATGCGGATCATAAATCATTTGTGCGGTTCCTACTGCATCAGTTTTGCGCGTCGGCATAGGCCAGCGAGCAGATGGCTCAGCCAATCCCGTGCAGGGAGAGTTAAAAATAGGTCATGTGTGAGAGAGGAAGCCCCTTAAGGGCGTTGAAGGAGCCGCTGAAGCAAAGTGCTTTTACCCCGCTCCTCATCCGACGGATATCCCCCCCCCACCCCCATCTAAAAAAAAACCAAGTCAGACTCATGCTAATTGTGACCGCATTCAGATTCCCGTTCCAAACTCCGCTATCGTGGCGTTTTCACCTCTCCTCTGGAGATGACTGATGGACAGAGACTCATAAGAGGTGTCGGGCGAGAGGTCCGTTGGCGGCCTCTCATTCAGGAGCGGAGGTTCGTCAAGTTGACTTTCAGTGGCGCCGATGAGGGTTTGCTGATGCCGTCGACCGGAAGTAGCGATGGAGAGCAGGGAGCCCAAAGAGGAAAGTGGGACCACGGAGGAGAGTGCAGCTGTTAGACTAAAGGTTTGCGGTCGAGGGCTCTGTGGGAGAGGATTCGCTTGATAGGGGTCGTCGTCGTCGTCGTCGTCGGTTTGGGTGACGGAATCTGAAAATACGGACTCGAACAAGCTCTGGTCATGGGTCGGACGGTTCTCCTTGGGGGTTGTTAGGCTTATAAGATCCTGGTAGGTAGGAATCCGAACAAACTTGGGCTGGCCGGCGGGGCCCGAAAACAATTCTGTCGCAGTTTGTGGGCTTGCTGTGTCCTGAACGATCTTCGAGTTGGTCTGAGTTGGATTTGTTTCGGATGGCCTTGGACTGCGGCGGGCCTGAAACCAGGTGTTTTGGCGGTTAGCGCAATCTGGGCTCGGCGTGCAAGTGGAGCAGGTGTCGGAGCTGGAACAAGCTTCCATGAAGATGGAGCAAGGGTTAGTTAGCAAGGAGAGTTTGGGATTCGGCTTGAAGCCTGCTTGGGAGCTGCCGGATTTCCTGCTGTTTTTTTCTTTCATGTTTTTAAAGTATACATACAGACTCACACACTCTCCTTACCTTTCTCAAGGTGAGATTTTTCCTGGTTTAATGTCACATTTTGTTGGGCAGTTGTTGTGCATGAGGCCAGGCATTCACAGCTCTGGTTGACGCAAAGAAAACCCGGCATGTGGCCTCGGTTCTGAATGTGGTCTTTCGTCCTGGAGGAGGATTTCTCTTCGGAAGTGTCGGCAAGCAGAAAATCCGGGGCTGGAAAAATGTCCCTCTGTTGATCCTGAGACAAAATAAGAGAGAATAGCTTTTGTTCTGGCATGATGAAACTTGTTCAGATGCATTTTTTTTTTTTTTTTTTTGTGTCCAATCTCAATCATATCAGATTTTAACTTGTTATGCTTGAGTAAAATCTTTTTGTTTCTGGATCTGCATGAAAACGGAGCTTTTTTTTTTGAAGGTAATACAATTTTCCATCGTTAATTTGCAGTCTAACCCGTGAATACTGCTGAGCTACTCGTGACTTTTTGTGACCTCGAATCATGGATCAAAATGCTCAAACATTTGATTTCAACCTTACTTCCATTCCTATATGCTCTTGTCCACTTGTCTTCGGACTGACCGAGTGGATCTCGGGGCCGCTGATGCTCTCATCCTCGGGGCAGCCGGTGAAGTTGAACCAGGTCGCGCCGGGCGACTGGGACGAAAGATCACAATTCACCAGCTTGTAGTACGTCTGATTAGTCCCAGTGAGCAGTGCGGCTTGGCTCTGGAGACAGGCAGCTTGGTCGGACGCCTCCGGAGAAGAGAGATCTTGAGGAGGTCGACGTTCCAAGGGATGAAGAGTGCGGCCTGGGTCTCCATCTCGAGGCGACCAGCAAGACGCGGCCTTGAGAAGCTCCTCTCGCAGGGGACTGTGCAAACTTTGGTCACTGCGCTCACTTGGAAGAGGTCGAAGGTTGAGGAACACCGATCTCTCCGGCGATGGAGATGGCTGAGCCGGCGGGCTGCTGAGGTCACGAGGCACGGCGGGGTTGTTGCTGTGGTCGTACATGGTGCAGAAGTTCACCAGGATCCCGTCGGAGCTGCCGCAGGAGGAGTCGCTGGCGTCGTCGGCTTGGCTATTGGGGAACATCTCTGAGGTAGATTCGAGTCGGTTGTGGACGCGGCAGGAGATGTGATCGGGCATTCCGTCAGTTGCCACGGGGCCACATCTGCCGAGAAGGGGGCCCCGAGCTTGCAGGAAGTCTTCCCGGCCCCAGTCCGTGTTGCCGTGGGCCGCCTCGTCATTGGCGGCGCTTTTGTGCCACTTGCAAGTCCCGTGCAACACAAAAGATGAATCCTCGCGGTATTTGTGAAGATTGTCTCCGTCGCTATCCTCATCGTCCTCATCCGGGTCCGGATTGGGAAGGAATGAGTTGTGCCAGCGCTGATTCGCTCTCGCTCGAACCGCTTCCTTTTTGCTTTCTTCTGCTGACGAGGCGGAGACGCAGTCACCGGTGCCATCCTCCTCCTCCTCCTCCTCGTCCACTCGGCCTTCGTGGAGGCTTGCGAAACTGTTGGAAAAATGCTTCTGACTAATCGCGATGGGATGCTCCTGGTTGATCCCGTCTCGCTCTGGGAGGGACGCCGCCCGGGGCAGACCGGAGGAGCCCGGCCTCCTGGCCGAGCCGCACAGGGCTCGAACGGGAAGTTGCCAGGCGGGAAGCGGAAGCAGCGGGAAGTGGCACGCAATCAGGGTGTCCCCCGAGACACTGGATGCGCCAATCATATTGTCCTCATGGTGCGGAAGATCAATTCTGAAAATATACAAGACGGGAGTTTCGTTTTTGAAGAGTATAGCGGTAATAATGCTGAAATAAGCCTGGCCCCGCTTTGGTGCTAATTCGGGTTTCAATTATGTGGAGAGGAATTTGTGATCTTATTTATCCTCGGCATTGAATGAGTTCATCTGAGTCATCGCAGAGACTAAGAATGTGTTTGGCATTTTCCTTCGCCCTTTTTCCTGCGGCGCACTTGAGTTATGATGATGCAGATCAACAATGAGCTGCACTTAGTTGCTCAACGTTTTGTGCGTGCAACATGAGAAGCGGTCCAGGAAGTCGAAACAAATGCCTCTTCAATCATACAGCATCTCAACCAAGGAAGATGGCACTGGAATAAATTCAAATCCGAAATCCGACGCTTTCGTAAGACCACCTCCTACAGGTCGAATGAGCAAACTCCCTTTCGCTCTTAGCCTGAACCGACCACGTACATCCCCCGTCCGTCTTCCACTTGTCTCAGCCTGCCAAAGTAGGTCAGCGGCACTGCAGACAATCACCGCCAGCGCTGCTCTGAGGAAAAGCGTGCTCACTGCAAAAACTCACACGCAGTCATTGAAACACCCACAGAAATATCTATTAATATTAAATAAAGGAAAATTCCATTTTTTTTTTTCAATCTAAGTGTCGGAAACATTTTCATAACAGCGGAATCAGAAATCACCTAGAAGACACTGAAATGCAGGTGAACAGAGCATACAGGATAAACAACTTTTGCAGGTCACGTGAACGACAATTGCACGCCTCACTTGGTGTGAGGTCATAGGTTCAATCTTATGACGATGGGAAATTTTTTCTAAATATTAAAAAAAAAAAAGTCTTGTCTGGTCCTCATTCATATAAACATGTGGAGATATTTCTCTTTAACGGGACATGGTTTATAGGAGCCGAAAAAAAAGCAAACAACAACCCTGCCATGGCACCAAAGATTAAGTCTAATATTTAATACCATACTGTCAATAACTACCTGATCACATATTCGAGGTTTAGAAATTGGGTTAATCTGCGGGCTCGGTGGCAGAATTCACAACAACAAAGATAATCTGTTGACTGTTTATCGGCGTTGAGAAGGAAGCGTGATGTTGACACATCAGATCACAGAAGAAACTTTTGTCCTGCAAATAAAGCCATAAATAATGTGTATATTAATTAGGTCAGTTCTCATCAGCACAACCCTTGATTGAGAACAAATCCAAATATTGCTGTCCAATAAATTAGCTAAAAAATTGAAAAAATGTAAATGCCAATTTAGTGCCTTACAGATAGACACAACACACGAAGGAACACAAACAAACAATGCGACGTCACAAAAAAAGTAGAACAATCATAATTTACACTTACAAAGTCAGTCACGAGTCATCTCCATCCTCTTCTATCACGGTCACTTTCTTGTGTAAGCATCTTTGTTCAAGTATTCAAAATGCAGCTTCCGTCCTAAATTAGTTGCATGCAAATCAAAATGACGCGATTTATAAACATATGCGCATTCCGGGTTATTCTAAGATGGAGGTTTAGGATTCGAATATGGAACGGTACCGAGCCTGCATCACCAAGGTCCGGACGGACCCCCGCGACGAAGATCCGGCACCACCGTCAGTCAGCTGGAGGACGTGTGACGTCACGAGCCTCTCAACAAATGAGGAAAGAGGAATTGCGGTATCCAAGACACACATTGGGAGGGGGCAGAAATAGGGCTACAGCTCGCTCAAAACATGTTTTTAGAAAATATATAGATAGCAATACCACTAGTAATGCTACTATTTACTACCAATTACTATAATATATGATAATTACCGCTAATTGTATATCACAAATCACACAAAAAAATCTTTTAAATACTGTATAGGTAAACACACCCCCATTTTTTTGAACGTGAAAATAGTCCCAAATCATTTTAAAATGCAAATAAAAAATGTATTCAAGGTTAGTCAGACACACTATTTTAGAACTTAATTTAAAAATAAAAGTTTTTTTTTATGTTTATACGTTGAGTCTTTCACATCGTCATGTGTTGATGGACGTCCCAAACGAAATAAAAAGCTGGCTAAGCCTGCCCCCTAGTGGCATGAAACAAGATTTTTATGGTTTGCTCTGTGGACACATCATTAGGTACACCTACACAGTGTAATGCAATGGGGCATTTGTCCTTACGTTAAAATTACAAACACAATCAGAACCATATTTCAGGTAAAACTTACATTAATACTTGCATAACAGTGTCGATCAAAATGGGTGTGGCTATCATTTTATTAACTTGTATTAGATCACATCAGAACATGCAGGTGTCCCTACTGCTTTTTCCTTTTTACATTTACTATAATGGACAACATAAAAGCTTTGGTCCATTTTGTAGTTTTTTCCTTCTGTTAAAATACTCAATTTAATCACTGATTTTAAAAAAAGTCAGTTTCCTGTCTCGTCACAAAAAAAGGCATAATTTGTATCCAAGTCCAATAGACTTATTTTTTTAATGTTAAAATAAAAAAAATGTTTGGAATGGAATCTGCTGACATGGTTTACAGTATGTAAATACAAATATATAAAAGGACAGCTCTTAAACATTGCACTGGTGTCTATATTTGACCAAGAAACAAACTTGTTTTTTTTGTTTATTTGATCCATGAAGAAGCAGCTTGTTGTGCCGACACTCGCCCTGATGGCATTGTTTGTGTTCTTCAGGTGAATTTCCAGAAAGAGCAAATGTTTCTCCTGTAAAGACAAGACAGGCAAAAGTAAAAAATGGTGATAACATATACAGAAACAAAAAATATGACAAGGTAAAAAAAAAAGCAAACAATGAAAAAAATAAATACAAGATTCCCAAAGTGTACAAAATGAAAAATAATGTCGACGAAAGTGCATCCTTGCGTCCCTTGAAAGGGATGAACAGTTATTTTTATGTAGTTAAAAAAAATAATCATGAAAAAGAGCATTTTTATTTGGCCCACTCAAAGAGTTAAGCCCTTCTCTAAAACGAATCTTTTTCAAACCATTTCAGAAGCTCCATGTTTGCCTGACTGAACTGTACCTGCAGTATTTCGTGGCACACTCCATATGATCCCTGCAGCTGTCGCCCACTGGCTTCATGGAGTTCCAGCGCCACAGCAAAGACCTCTTGGTCCGGTGGACCAAGCCGGTCCAGTCTTCCGGCACAGGTGCCGAATCCACCTGACGGCACCATCATAACCAAAGATGAAGTTAGCATGATTTGCAAACACAGCTATTACGAACCATGGTTGTTGACTTACCTGCGTGCGGCACAGCAGAGCCATCAGCAGAGACAAAACGGCAACCTTCTGCACGAGTGCCCTCATGGTGTCCAAATGGAGCTAAATGTCCCGTATCAGTGTGGCTTCCATTAAAAAGGCTTGAATTAGGTTAAGGAGGAGCTACCATTAAAGATCAGTTGGGTTATTAGATGCCTGGAAGTGAAACCAATGTGATCGCCAGATACAAGCAGGCGGGTGCACTTATCAGGATTTACTGCAACGTAGTCTTTAACCTGTGGATTGAGGACAACTCCACGTGTGTCTCCCGGACGGGACGTAATCATGCACCAGCAAAAAAAAAACAAAAAGTTACATTTTCACCTTCACGACAACAGAGGTAGCGACACCATCTCATTTCCTGTTTTTGAACCACTGTAGAGGCAGTGTGCGCCTCGAATTCCGCATTTGCTTACCTCGGGTAATAGGTGAAAAGCATTTTGTAAATATACATGGACTGTATGTCACAACAAAAAAAATATTTTTCTTCACAAATTTCCTACGCCAAGACACGGACGGAGCCCTGCACAAAAGCACACAAGCAGACTGAGCACAATTACGAGCATGAATTTGATTCGACGTATGACAACATGCACATGTGAAGCACAACGACTTTATTGTTGCAATCTGGTTGACGGCAAATGACAAATGGTTTGATAGGTGACCTATTAAGTGTGCACGGTGCTAATTTATGCGCCAAAGTGATCCACGTGTAAACACATTTCTCTTTTCCATCTGAGACTGCACAAAGCTCACAAGATGACTAAAATTGATTAGTTGTGACAGCGGTGAATGGTTATTGTGATCACTTGTGTCAGGCAGTAACTTAATTCATGCAGCCCATTTGAAAAGATACTCACTAATGTACTACCCAGACAAAATGTCGCCGGTAAAAACAGTCACACAAAAAAGGAGGCGGCATTTCTAGCAGCCGGCTAGCATCAACCGACGTGGTTTTGAGCTTTTTGTCAGCATGATGTGGGTAGTGGGGTATTGGAATTGGTGGAAAACAACTGCAAGCACACAAAAACGTCCCTTTATACTGTTAGTGTTGCGATACTGCGTTATTCAGAGCCCACGGAACTGCAGTTTACTGGACATTTTCTCAGATAAAATGCAAATTAAAAATTATTTACAAGTATTGCAGCTTGGAGGCTTGAACTCAATTTGCAGCACAGCAGTTATGAAATTTGTCAGGAGGGAGTGGGATCAAGTAAAAAAACACAAACAAAAAAAAAAATTTTTTTTTTTGCCTGGAGGTTCAATTAGTTCAACACTGCCAAGTTGAGCCAATGGAGAATAACACAAAAGCAAACTTGTACTTAGACCTCAAAAGGTGCAGGTTCTTGGGTGAAAAACACTGGTGTTGCCGCGCTGCCTGTCACTTCCTGTCTGTGGCGGGGGGGGGGGGGGGGGGTGCACCGGCGCAGCTGGCGGT